CACATGTTTCCTTACTGCTAACAAAATTATGAATGGACTAAAAATCATCGATCACAACCATTCATTCAATTCCATTCCTGAAAGAGAATGTGGCATCATATTATAATCATGGTTATGAACATAATTGTGAAATGAAAAGATTTGCAAGATAAGTTAGCAATGGATTTAAGAGTTCTTATTATAGATGTGATATGAATGAATATTGGTTATATATCTTTAGTATATCCAAGCAATTTATTAACTTATCATATATCTCCAAGTATTTATTGGATTTGTTTCAAGCTTTACCCAATGAGAAGGGAAAAGGTCCAAAAACATATTTTGTGGATATTATGGATATGCACTTGTGATATTTATGCTACAAACTTGGATATATTATATCCATTTTGAGAATATTAGGGGAAAGTATCTCAAATATTTGAGAAATTAAATATGTATTCCAATGTGGGATTGTAAATTAAAAAGAGAATTCTTTGAGATCAAGTCTTCTCAATAAGAATTCATTTCCAATGAAAAGATGAGATGAAAGAATGCATTTATGAATGGATATATATATTTTATAATAACATATCTCACATAGAAAATTTATATCCTCAATTTTGATATTCATATTAATCTTATATAATATCTCTCAATATGGAGGTTACATATTAATAGAGAAACACTTTGAAAAAAGGCATCTTTATTATAGTGGTGCCTTTGTGATAAGTAAAATGTGGCACTCATGCACTTATATTATACAAAATATATAATAGTGGAATAAAACTTGATAAATTATGTCTCATTTTTCAATGTGCAAAAGATGTGCCATGATGAAATATCCTTAAAATAAAAGTTTTCTAATTACACTTAACTTAAAGCTAATGTGATGTTTTATGTTACAAGTTTGAATGAAAAATCTAAAGAGCTTGTATATTATTTATTATTAATTGAAAGTTCTTGAAAAGCTTGAATTTTGCAGCTTGGAGAAGTAAACTTTTTAAATACATGACTAGTTGTATCCTAATAAATTATATTGAAATCTATTAAATTTTAAGGGTACAAACATATAATGGTTATTATACTAAAACCATAAAAGAGAAAAGCACAAAATGCCTCCTATGTTATATCCTTTATCTGGCCAAAAGGCACACATATTTGAAAAGATTTCTCTTTCGAATTACATACATAAATCTAATAGGATCAAAGATTGGGGCTAACCAAAAAGTTGATCCTAGAATGATTTGAGCCCAAGTAACTTGGTCATCAAGTGATTTTTCATGTGTTCCATTCCCTAAGAACATGATTCCCAAGTCTTTTACAAATACAATTGAAATATAATCTTCTTCATTGTTATTACCACGCCCCAACCCATAGGTTTAGGTATAACAAACGCCACACATCTATAGGATAACCCCATAAATGTGTTAGGATAACCCCATAAATGTGTAAGGCCATCTACCTTCATATTAATACAATCTCCCATAAAGTTTTAATATAACCTTATAACTTTAAAATAAATAATTTCATTAACAAATCTCAATAGTCTCCAAATAACAAGATCAAATCTCTTAACCAAAATATAAAATGATAACATCTTATTCCATAAAATCAAATAAACTTTCAATTGAGCTATCGCTAAATTTCTGCTAATTTATTCTAACGATCTCTCAATTCCCATGCAAAACCCAATGCTCACACTTCTTCACTTGAAAGGAGATGAAATTTAAAAACATGAGTTTAAGAACTCCATAAGTAGTATACACATCCATCACAACCAAGCATAGAAATTTAAAATTGAATTTTTATTGAAAATAAAACGATAAAAGTACATTTCTTTCCTTGAAACCAGAATGTTTCATTTTTCGTCCCCTTTGGCTGTGTAACAGTTCACAATCCATGATTAATGATACTCAATCATCAATCCACAATCCACAATTCACAATTCACAATACACAATCCAAAGTCCACAATACACAATCCACAATTCACAATCCATAGATGTCAGGTCTATCACAATATCAACAACTCCACCCTCATAAGAGTTAATCATACAGCCAAGACAACAAAAGAAACCGTTCCAAAAATAACCATTTCAATAATATTGGAGAAAAACAAATTAAAATTAGCCACCTCCACATGGCCACAATCTCAGCTCAAACTTTAATAAAAATATCATGTTTGGTCCACAAATTATCTCATTTCATCATTAAAAACATTTTGGTAAAAATATTCTCCAAGAAATGAATAAACAAATAGACAAATAAATCAAAATTTGATAAAACTCATTTAAATCTTTGATTTACTTTTTAAAAATATTGGAGAGTATAATTACTTACCTCAATAACTATCCTTCAAAATGCAATTACCACACAATTACTTGAAACCTAAATGAACATCAAGTATACATAATTCAATTACCAAATAAAATTTATTCTTTGCTTATTAAGCATCTACATGATAAAATTTTATAACCATGCCACTGTTGTCCTCTTCCTCAAACCCATATATTCCAACCCACTGCTAGAAACTAAGCACCTAATAAATAATTCCTCTTTAAAAATTCCTCACGTCACCACCCAAATTCACAATCTTTTTATCAATACCAAAATCCATTTGCTACAGTAGAATCAATCTCCCGACCGTGCTTCTACCCATTCTCTTCATTCCAAATTCTTAAATATTTCAAGCTTTAGAAGATAATTTACCTTGGATTTAGTCTAGTATGGCCAAATCCCTAAAGTTTCAGTTCCCCTTGCAGGTGAGAAAAGAAGACGATCCTGTTCGCCAGAAAAGAAAGAAAATTGAAACTGCCAAATTGAATCTCATTTGGGTTTTCACAAAATGGGAATATTGCTAATTGGTCCCTAAACGTTAATTATAAGGTTATAGTCCCTGAGTTCCTCACCTTATTATAATTTTAACCCAAAATTTAATTCTATCACATATACACCTTGTAAGAGCTTAAATAATTTATTTAAAACTTAAGTAAGAAATCCTTGGGTATTATAGTTATATTAGATTCAAGGAGATATATGAACCTATATTCAATTATTTGAAATATATTTTAATATATTATGACATTAATAAATACTTGAATATGAAGGTGACAAAATACTATTTTAAACAATATGAAACATTGTGTTGAGAGCATATTTGGCTTGATAATCTCAAAAAAAGGCTAGGAGTTTATCATTTACAACAAAGTTTATTGATTGTCAATTTAAAGGAATCATGTTTGTAGCATTAGCGAGAGAGAAATAAATATTAAGAAGGTAAGAGATAGCTTGAGATACATCTTCCAAGATCTTCAAATAAATTGATATGAATTAAAATTCTAAAATTCTGTACTATCAATTAATGAATGCATCTATTAATGAAATGAAAGTAATAAATCATATTTCCAAACTTTAAGTACTCCTTCTTGGATTGATATTTTTACTAAAAAATTTGCTAAAATATTAGCAAATTAGTTTATGCTATAAGCATATTAGAACAAATGGTTTTAAGAATAAAAATTTTAAAATGTAGAGAAAGTATAAGCAAAATGTTAGTACTACTAAAATCATAAAACTTTTAAAGAGTTCTCATGGAAATTACCCTAAGAAAAGAGTTAGGTGCCTGAAAACAATGAGAATATTGAAATTATATACGATGATGAGATCTTTATAAATTATAGTTCTCTTAAAAGAGGATGGAATTGAAATGAAATTATTATTGATAAGAAATTCTTGCATATGTAATAGTGATAGATGTAGTTAATGAAAATGAAAATCTTGAATTAAATTTATTGAAAACGGTTAACAAAGAAATGATTGGCCAATATGAAAGGAGATGATCCATATAGAATTAAAATCACAAGAATTGCATGATATTTTTGGTTCAGTTTTTTAAATATACAATGAAATAGTATCTATAAAATTAGTGCAAAACCAATAAATTTTCTTTACAAAATTATTGGCTTCTAGAACTTTGAGTAGTTAAAACACTAAATTGGTATAAAGTGCTTAATTATGAATTTACATTGCATTCACGGAGAGTAATATTTGCACTGTACTCTTTTCCCCTTTGCCAAGGTTTTTTTTTTTTTTTCCCACTAGGTTTTTTCCTGACAAGATTTTTAATCAGGCAGTTTAATAAGTGTATAATAAAAGTGAATATCTAAGGGAGAGTGTTATAAATCAATTCATTGTAGATATTTCATCTTCTTCATTCTCTTACCTTTTTACTTTCCATGGCATTTACATATTTACACACCAAATAATGGTGTAATTGCCACTACTTCCATGTAATTACAATGGTGATTAACATTTCATAATGTCATGCATTTAGATGATGATAATGAGACTCATTATAACTCCTTAATTAGTAAGAGATTAATCCTTATAATCTCTCATTTAATGAGTGTTAATTTCTTGTAATTTCTATTCACTATTAACCCTTATATATAGAGCTTGTACTCTTGCAAATATATGAAGAACAAATGAAAAAAAATAAAGATATAATATATCTTTATATTGCCTCACTTTGTCTCTCTAATTTTTTTTTTCTTCTAATTGATTCCTTTTTTATTTTACAACAAATTTTACTTTTTAACCAACTATGTTAGTTTTTTAATAATTATGTGATATATCATATAGATGTTAGGTTTTGTAACATAACACGTGTTTCAATCATAAAGCAACTATAAGATAAAAGCTTTATTTAACAATATTTTATATGATTATTTTACACATTATTTTATTTTAAATATAAAATATTAATTTTTAATTAATTTTTTATATAATTTTACTAATTTTATTTAATATTATATTTCAAAAAAAAAAAAATTCTACCGCTACAACCATAGTGTAGAAAACACTAACAAACCACGCACCATACTGCACTTCCCATTTATGATTCTTCAAAAAAATAAATAAAGGCATTCCGACCAATCTTTTTCTTTATATTTTCTTCTCCCACAATTTCTTCCATCTACCCTTTTCAAAAATTCTAAAATTTTCATAATAAAAAGCCGAACCCTACCAGAACTTGAACCCAGAAAGGATGATCAGATCACAGAGAATAAAGGGAAAAATGAAAAAGAAAAAGAGATAAAAGACAAATTAACACGATCATCTTGATTCCCCTAAATATAATCTTACTTTACAACAAAGGGAAAAAGATTACAAATCTCTCTTTCATCACAACAGAGCATAAAAAACCATTCACCGCCCAACATCAATTCATCCCCCACAATATACTACTTCCCTAATATTACACATCAACCCCTCATTTCTTCTTTTTTTTTTTCCTTTCCTTTTTCTCCCTTTTTTTCACCCCATCAAACAAACCCCTTACATACACACATATTTTCTAATTCGTCCCATATCTTTCTCTGATTTTCAGATCCACCCCTCGCTGCTAAAAAATCACGAGAAAATTGGATCGTGAAATTTCAAGAGAGGAAATAGAGACGATGATATATAAGGTAGGACTAAGGTTATTCGGATCTAAATAGATATCCGGGTATCCGGAATATAGGGAATCGGATCTTTCCACGGTGGTTGACGGAGGGAATAGGAGTACAACCTCAAAGATCGAGCCGGAGCAAACGCCTGAGATCACGGGTGGCGGAATCGCAAATCGGAGCCTGTTTCTTCGTTGAGAAAGACGGCAACGGGAGGGAACTCGGCGACGGGGACACTGCGAAGGCCGATCCGGCGTACATGGCGGTTTTCCCCGGCGATCTGATATCCACGATCCGGATCTGCTTCGGGACCATCTCTGGATCTGGCCCCAACCGATCCGTACCCGTCACGACCAGATCTCCACCGTCCGATTCCCTCTTCAACGAGTCGTTGCTCCTGATCCTTGCCCCCAACGACTCTCCCCGCCTCAAAATCGTCACATTTCCCATCACCATATCATTCCTCACCGTTTTCAGATCATCCACAGAACTCGACCTCGTCGAGATCGACGACTCCGGTCGCTTCCTCTGCTCGTACCGAACCGGCTTCCTGTTAAACCTAGCGTTATAATTGTAACCCCCGTTCGCGTTCTGGTTGCCTCCATACCTCCCGCGAGAACACGCCGCCGGAGATACCCGGATCCTATCAATCAAACAATCCTGCGACCGCAAAATCTCAGTCCCCATAACTAAAAACCAAAAATCCAAGCACCAAAACAAATTCAGGAAGACGAGGAGGAGAATTCAATCGAATAAATTACAAGAGAGGCGGAAAATTACATCGATTTCTTCTTCCTCATGAAACGAGGAAGAAGAAGAAGGAAATGAAGAAGGAAAGGATAAAATTACAGAAAAATTCTAATTTATCTAAATTTTTTTTTTCTTGGTTTATATTTTTAGAATTTGCTCTGTTGGATTTGTCGGGGGATATTGTAAGAAACTTGTGGATAATATATAGACGGGGGGGATGAGGAAGGAAGGTGAGGGGGTGATTTCGTGGCGCGTGAGGGGAAAAGCAAGGGGAAAGAAGGTGAGGGGGTGATTTCGTCGCGCGTGAGTGGGAAAGGGCAGGGAAAGGGGGCGGTCAGACCTACCCGTTTGAGTGAGAGTGAGTCTATGTGGGGGCGTGGTGTGGGGCCCAGTTAAATGGTTTTATTATATGTATTAAATATATATTTTTATTATAAATTTATATTAAAAATAAAAATTAATTTTTAATTTATTAATTATTAAAATAAATTTACTTAATATTAAAATTAATACCAAATTTTGTATTTTTTATATACAATTATAATAAAAATATTCTTAATTTATATATATTTTATCTTAGTTATATAATAAAAAGTAATCATCTTTCATCTTTTATCTCACTCTATCCGTATATTATACGAGCTGAATTCAAACATTTTTATTTTTAATAAAAACAATAATTATTAAATTATTTAAATCATTATTTTTAATTTATATTTTAAATGCTAAGATTAAAAAAATACGTATCTTATTAGTGGTGTCTGTGATAACAGAAACCGTAAGTTTGGTGGTTTTGGGTGGGTTAGATTAGAGGGATCGTTTGTGTTTGTAACTTGGGGTTGGCGGTTTGTATCCGTTTCGTGTAACGGCGTATGGTTTGGGGAAGCGTTAGTTGTCGGGTTGCGGCGCTGGATGGAAATTATCTTTATGGGGACCAGATATGATAATGACTTCAATATTTGTAGTATATATATTTTTTATATATATTTAAGTATTTACAAATTGTTTTAGAAAATGTGTTTGTATTATTTATATATTGATTATATTATAATATTATAATTATAATATCAATCAAGATGGTTAATTTATAATTTTATGTAATATTAAATAAAATAAGTTATGAAATTAAATAAGTGAATATATATAATATCATAAGTTCACATATCACATTATAATTTTATAATGCTATATGATATTACAATTACAACATTTTTATTATTTTATTTAAATTGTCATTCAAGATATTATCTTATATAAGTCTCAAAATAGAAACATGATATTAAATTGCGAATATGTTTCAATTTTTGTGATCATAAAGAATCAACTATAGTAATTTGTTCTATAATATATATATATATATAGTAATTTGTCTATAATTACGAAATTGTATTGGCTATGCAGATTGAAATCCAGATATGGTTACACAATATTTTTGTCCACTCATTTAAAATGTGTTATATGGAGTTTAATGAAATTGAGTGGATAAAAATATAATTTAATAAAATCAAAAATACAATTTACGCAGAATTAATTATCTTATGTGTGGCCATATTTAGAGCCGAAGATTGTTGATGAAACCTTTTTTTTTTTCTATGCATTGAAAAACAGATCATTTCTGGTGATAGGTTGCGGTCTAAGCACCATCATCAACGCAAAGAAAAAATAGCTAAGAAAAAAGGTCTACTGAGTTTTCAAAATATTATATTTTGTGTACTTTGATTTGGCCTGAGTGCTTAAAAAATGTACTTGTACGCTTCTTACATCATACAACCTTGGTACCTTGGTGGAATTTGTACCCAAGAAAGAAAAAAAAGTGGGTTATTTTATCCCAATTGGAATCAAGAGATTGAGGAAGCCTTCGCAAGAATATGGACAAAATGTTCATTAGAGAAAGCTACCTTACATTTCACATGTTCATTTCCTGTTTGGTCTCAATCAATAGTCATTTTATAATTTAAATTAATCATTTATTATACAGTCAAGAATGTCAAATGTATGGAAAATTGAGAATGAAAAGTCATGTATTAGGTGGTATGGATATATTTCAACTTTTGTAATTTAAATGGAGTATTCACATCGGAAAATTTGCTAGATGTACAATATTTTAAGTACAATATTTATTTTCATTATGATATATTATTTTTTAATTTATATATAAATATTAAATATACAATATATATCAATTTATTTAATAATATATTATATTATATATT